ACGCCGGCCCATCGGCACCCTTCGAGGTTGTTCCCGAAAATCATCTCGATTTCTCGTATTTCAAAGATCGTCCAGACTTCCGTGACGAGTTTGGTGGGGGCATCTATGGCCGCCCCGAGGATCTGATGACCGAGCGGTCCCATACGCCGCGAAGCCACCTGGCCGAATGGTCACCGTCCACATCGCGCGCGTCATCGCCTACGCCGTCGCTGCCTTCGCTCTCTGGACTGAAAATGCCCGAAGGCTACGACCCAATTGCGAACGATATCCACCCTGCCTTCCGCCCTCCGCTCTCGCGTGAGGAGAGTGCGGCGATGGGCACTGGTCTGTACCATCACCGGAGTGCGAGCGAGTCTCAGCAGCTTCTAAGCCAGGCGCAGGTGCCTGGGACCAGCGAGATCACACCTGCGCCCCTGAGCCGATGGCGGACTGGAGGATACGGGCCTGTTGAGCAGGACGATCCCAACTTCACCTCGTATGAGCACTACCGTCCTGCGCGGTAGTTGCCGATTTGTACAGCTGAATGGTTTGGCTATGTCATAAACTTGGTATTTGCATAGATCTGGTCGGTGGGATTTGATTTGACTGTACATTTGACACGGGTTAACGAACTTTACGCCTATATCACATTGGATGACATTTGATTTATTATTTTGACTTGATATACCTGTAGAAATTAGCTATATATTTCTGGATACGATCAATAAACTTAGTCGTGGAGCTCTCCTGGTGTAATGTAACATGTCACTTTGATGTATTGCTTACGATTTTCCCGATTGGGCCGACGGAGGCGAAGTCAGCTTCCGGTGCCTGATAAGGGAGCTCTCCTTACTTACGAAGTAGTTTGCTTCCTCTCTCCTGAATCAAACCAGGGCAGCCTTTCTCCTACTTGCACAGTCGGCAGTTCTCTTCAATAAGCATGCTTTTCAAAGCCTCACTTTGACATTATTCATGTCACTGTCGCTGGACTCCTGACCCCGGTCCAACGATATCGTACGCCTCCGCACCAAGCCGAGTCCTCGAGCTCCGCATCGACTCCCCTCACCCCTGCCCATCGGCCAGATCTTACCACTCGCTCCCGAATGCTTTGCAATAAGCAGGGGAGTCTCTGAACCTCTGTCGCAACCCTATACAGAACCTCCGTCTACTGAGCATTCCCCTCCGCACATGCTCCCCCGCCTGAACATACGGCATCCTCCGCATACGAAGAACAACTACATCAGAGAAATCTAAGAAAAGCCATGGCGTGGTACTCCATCCTCCCCCCAGACCTAATCTACGTCGAGAGCTGGGTCGCTCGGATCTTCGTACGTCTCCCTCACTCCGTCCCTGCAAACTGCGCTGAGTGAATGTAATGCTAATGCTAATGTGTGGCCGGCTCAGGTCTTCCTCGGCATCATTACGATATTCCCATGGGCGGCGCTGATCGTCTTCGACGTGCTGCTGTATATCTGGCGGATGGGGGCGTACGAGTTCCCCGTCGTCGGCGGCCGGGCGAGAGGGATGCAGCGGCCTCGGGCGCCGAGTTTGAATGTGAATGTTAGTGAGAGGAGTGAGGTGCCGAGGAGGGTGTTTGGGCTTGCACCGGCTGTTAATACTGCGGGTGCTGGGGAAGTGGGTGAGCAGGTGGAGGTGAAGAGGAGAGAGAGGGTGGTGACGGATACGGATGGGTGATGGCCAGGCTTGTTGTTTGACTCGCTGTGGTTGATTCATCATCGTCGTCGCATGCTGCTGTTTGTTTCTGATGTTGATTTGTGCATCTCTATTGATACCCATATGTTTATTGTTCTTGTCGTCGGTTGTCTACGGAGGCGGTTGTTTGTATTTGTACTGTATGTATACCTCTACCTGATCATGCGCGGTGCTCTATGAGCCCAGCTAATGCACTATTAGCCTACCGACTCAATGTCTCCAAACCTTGATATGATAACACAAGACTATCATTCATAATGATTCGTTCGGTGATTGCGTCGAGTCGGCGTTACTCCGCGGTTCCCCGCGCCAATCATGGCACAGGCCGAGCTGATATCATATCCCCTCTTGACTCATTCCTATACAATATATAACTATGGATGCATCGTGGACATGTCCGAGGTACGAGGCGAGTCACATCCCTCGTTAAACGGTCATGTCTACAGCTCGATTCCAGTACCTCGAGTCATGGAGACTCTATCTCGAACGAAGCCCATCCATCATCTCATTCCTAATCCTGGGGATTTGCACATTGACATTCGCATTCGCATACTATCGCAAGATCAAGGTCCAGGTACGTCTTCCCATCCTCTCATATCAACCCAACCACTAACACCACCAGACCATCCCTTCCAAACATGAACCTCTGGAAGAGGGATACCCCCCCATCACCCCCCTCCTCAACTTCAACTGGGAGACCACCGAACCACTGGCCCTCCGCCCCTTCAAGCCAAAATACCACTTGACGATGGGTATGCCCCAGTCCCAGTAACCCATCCAGTCTGTAAGCTCTAGAAACTAACGAGTCAGCCCTCTCCACCATCCCGATCTCAGAGCTAATCCCCATGGACAAGACCTACAAAGAGCGGATGGCGCTGCGCGGCTCTCTGCTAAAGGAGTACCCCGACGTCGTGCACGGCGTGCACGACGACACCGATCCGCGGATCCGCCGCGCAGTGGGCGAGTTGTACGGCTTCATCATGGGGACGTATCTGCCCACGCGGTATCCGACGATGTTTTCCCTTTCGGGGACCAAGTCGGTGGTGCTAGAGAATAAGGTCTTGGGAAAGACGTACCCCATAGACATGGAGGATCAGTCTATCCTCAAGGCTCTAGAGATCCTAGGCCAGACAGTTGACGAGGAATTCCTTATCCTCTTGCCTGAGAAGACGCAGGGCACCGAAGGAGAGGAGAGATATTTCCTAGCCGCGTACACCGCGTACTTCCCCTCTGGGTTCGACACGCGCACGAAACTCGGGTTGCGGCTTGCGGCCATCCATGACCCGGTCCCTGGGTACAAGGAGAAGCTGGAGCGGAGCATGGATCGGTTCTTTGCGCGTGTGGAGGTGGGGAAGGTCGTGGCGAGAGTGAACTGGAGTGTTACGACGGAGACGGGGCTGTTTGCTGCGTTTGGGGGCGTGCATGGCTCTGCTGCGGCTGGAAACGAGGAGATTGAGCCGGGGATGTTGGATGTTGATTCGGTGGGTTCACTCTCCCTGCAACTACAGGGGTTTGTCCTTGGACTAATGCTTATGCTGAGGTAGACGGTTCTCCGGTGTGAGCGGCAGACGCTGCATCGGCTGCCTCGGAGCAAGGCGCTGGTCTTTGCGTTCCATACGTATACGTATCCGCTGCAGACGATCAAGGAGGAAGGGCTGGGCGAGGAGCTGGCGACTGCGATTGATGGGTTGAAGGCGGGCAACGTGCCCGGGATGCATTGGTACAAACGGGGTTCTGTATGGGGCGAGGCCGTCAAGCACTTTCTACGTAGTTGATTGATGGTCTATGCATTTTTAGGATTTGCTGCTCAGGACGACTAGGACTATCTATCTAGTTCAATCGCTGGATCACCTTGATGAGATCGGCCGTCACACCCATGGCCGTGACATCGCCGCCCGCACCGGCGCCCTGCACAATCAGCGGGTTGCTTCCGTACCGCTTGGTGTAGAAGCTGATGATATTGTCACTGCCCTTGAGTCCCGCAATGGCACTGTCCTTGTCGAACTGCTGCAGCCCAACGCGCACCTCCTTCTTCGCTACGTCCACGCTACCCACATACCGCACGACCTTGCCCTGCTTCTCGGCGCCCTCCTTGATGGCCGCCATCTGCGCATCAAACTTAGGCAGTTCGGTCATGAACTGCGCGATGCCGTCCGCGGTGGAAGGCAGCGCCGCCAGCTCCGCGGGGATCAGCGACTCAATAGGGAAGGCGTCCGGGCCCTGGACCTCGAGCCCCGCAATGCGCGCCAGGATGGTCAGCTTGCGCGCCACGTCCATGCCGTTCAGGTCATCGCGCGGATCAGGCTCGGTGTACCCCAGCTCCTTGGCCTGGGCGACAACCTCGCTCCACTTGGCGTTGGAGGCGCCCGAGACGGGAGCAAAGGTGTTGAAGAGGAAGGAAAGCGTGCCGGAGAACACGCCCTCAATGCGGGTGACCTCGTCACCGGTTGCGACGAGATCGCGCAGCGTCGAGATGACAGGCAACCCAGCGCCGACGGTGCTCTCGTGGTAGACGAGCGCCTTGCCCTCGGCGGCCGCGGCGAAGATCTCCTTCCACAGCGAGAGGTCGGAGGAGAAGCCCTTCTTGTTCGGGGTGACGATGGAGATGCCCTTGCGGAGGAAGACCGGGTACGAGCTGGCCAGTGCCGGGTCGCTGGTGTTGTCGACCAGGATGGAGCGGCCGGGGGCGGAGGAAAGATAGGAAGCAATCTCTTCGGGCGACAGAGCACCCGACTTGGTGAGCGAGGGGGACTCGGCGGCCGCCTTCCAGTCACCGGCGGGGATGGCAGGCGAGTAGGCCGGTGTCGGGGCCAGGAGGGTCTGTGTTGAGCGAGCGAGGAGGATCAGCTTGGGGGCATTGGGGAGACGGGCGAGTTGGTTCAAGAATGCGGTTCCAACACCACCGACACCTGATTCATGCATTCATTGTTAGCCTGAGTCAGTACTCCGGTGTAGCAAAAGGTGGGATACTCACCGATGACACCGAGATAGATGTTAGACATGGTCAATGGTTGCAATTCTTGATCTTTGTGACAGAAATGACGATAGACAGTGTAAAATTGCAACAAAATCTTCAGTAGAGAATGAACAGGACAAAGACAGCAGAGGATGAATCACAAAAGAAGCAGAAGCCAACGCTTTAATCGTGGAGTCGCGGGGCAGCGATTATCGGAGTGGTGCCTGAGGCAGAGATTGGTTATCTAATCGACATCGGGCTTTAGCTATGGATACAGGGAACATTTACTGCTCTTCATCTCAGAAGTACGAAGTAAAAACCTCCAACACTGTTGCTCGCAGCCAACACCACAATGTCAAATACAAACCCATCCCTCTACGGCCTCCCCCGACATAGCCAAAAACCCTCCTCCCAATCAACCGCTCCCTCGGCCTCCACCCTCGCCTTCACCACCCAGCTCTCCTCCCTCATCACCAAAGGCACCGAGTCCTCCGCCCGCGGCCGCCCTCGACCCTCCAAATCCTCCAAATCCGACATCTTCACCGTCCACAACAAAGGCGCCCAGAAACGCGCCGCCGCGGACCTCCGCGATGCTGCCGACGACGACGATGCCGAAACCACCGTCCGGCAGATCCACAAGCGCACCGCAGACATCGGCGCCGTCGACGCCGCCACCCTGCACCGCTCCAAGCGGCGGCTGGAGGAAAAGGCGCGCATGTACGAGGATCTGAAGAGCGGGCTGTACCTCGCGGGTGACAGCGATGACGAAGAGATCACCTCCCGGGATGATTACTTGGCCCGACTCCGCCGAAAGGAGAAGGAGGGGCTGGTGGATTTCGATCGCAAGTGGGCTGATGCGCAGCGAGCGAAGGGGTCAGATGATTCCGAAGAGGAAGAGGAAGAGGCCGACGATAGTGCGTCCATCGTCTCGTATGAGGACGAGCTCGGGCGGACGCGGCGCGGGACGAGGGCCGAAGCTGCGCGTGCGGCGTTAGCTAAAGCGCAAGAGAGCGGGGAAGGTCGGGGCCCGGAGCGGTGGAAGCCTGCGCGGCCGGAGAAGCTGATCTACGGGGCTGCGGTGCAGGCGGAGGCGTTCAATCTGTCGTCATCTGCGGCGGAGCAGATGGCGTCGCTTGCTTCCCGGCGGGACCGGTCGCCTACGCCGCCGGAGGAGACGCACTACGACGCGGATGCGGAGGTGCGGAACCGCGGGACGGCCTTCTATGCGTTTGCCAAGGATGAGGAGACGCGGAGGAAGCAGATGGAGGAGCTGATGAGTGCGCGGGAGGAGACGCAGCGTGAGCGGGAGGCTAGGCAGGCGAGACGGGCGGAGCGACAGCGGGTGAAGGACGAGAGGAGGCGGCAGATTGAGGAGCTACGGACTAAGAGAAGGGCGGAGACGTTTCTGGCTGGGTTAGGAGATCTGGGTGCTCTGCAGGCGGATGCATCCTAGACCCTGGAGTTTCTTTTTTGCTGTACATTATGATACCCTATTGCAACATTTGACGCCAGAAAAGCGAATACACCGGATATATCAACGAGGCAAATAAGCCGCTCAAATGATCATTTCTCATGACGGTCATGGCACATAAATCGTGGGTATTATGTTTTTTTGTCATCAAGTTCGTGCAATGGTTCCCTATACGATCAAAGTCTCAACTGCGATGCTTCTAGCGAGTATTCGCCAGCTGTGCGATGGTCTCTACGAAACCTTGGGCATCTACATCCGTCAGTATTGCCTACTAACCTTAAGATCAAAAACTTACCAGCACGATTCGTAAACTGCAAGATATGCTCCCCCCTCGACGTCTTCTGCGGGGTATAATCCGCCGCGAACATGAAGATAGTCTGACGGAGCTCACGCAGCACGACCACCTTCGAGTCCGGACGGCGGATCCAGCCCCGCGTCCCGAGGTTCTGAGTGATAAAGGCAGTCCATACAGGCGCCCTAAGAACCAGTCAGCTTGGCCTTTTCGTGATCCGTAGATCGGTGTCATACCGTTTCATCTCCCCCTTGTGGACGGATGCCTGCAGCCTCACGGCTCCAGATACCTTGTCCCGGTATATGCGCAACGCATGAAGGTAATTATCATCGAGGATCTGTCTATTGTGGTGTGAGCTTTGAAATTGGACTGTGTCTGCGAGACTTACCCTCCAAAGAGCTCTTCCTCGTTATCGAGCTCGTAGTCACGGATGCTCTCCACAGGTCGACCGGCGTCCTGGGAGCGTAACGCGAGGAATGTGCAGAAGAAAAGGACCATCTCTAGTATTCATCAGCAAAGGTGCATTGGGCAAAGGGTGACAGTGACATACGCTCGATGGTGCTGAACTTGAGGTTGGCCCACAGGACCAGCTCGTACCCGCCGCGCCGTCGCCGGCAGAGGTTCAGACAGGAGCCAACCCGGACAATTTCCAGGAGATTTAGAGGCATGCAGAAGTATTCGCTCGGTCGAGTGGTGTGAGGAGCCTTGCACAATATCCGCGCTCGGTGATCATCCTCGCGAAGGTAGAAATGCACGCGAAGGTCCGAGTCGCCGGTGAATGCTCTGAGACGGTTAGCTGCGGGCTTTCCGGGTGCAGGAGCGGACCTGGTATGCTTACAACTGGAAAAGTTCCTCGAATCCCTCATCTTTTAGCCACCGCTTGACCCCGGGAGAATGGTCACCGAGACATTTCGAACTAGTTTCCCCGGCATCAATAGCTAGACCGAGTGGCCTGGAGATATATCGTGCTCACCTTTCGCCTACGTAAGGAATGGGGGTCATTGTAATCTCATCGAGAAACACCCGCTTGGCCCAATGGTCGCTCACTAGCGTATTGGAGCCTGCGGACTGACTGGTAGTGGTTGTAGAGCCGGTCGTAGGCGAACCCGGCGCATCAGGCGCAGACGGGGGGATATCCGAAAATGTCCCTGATGAGGGAGAAAGGGGCGATTGAGGCGAGCGATGAGATGGTCTGGCCCGCTCGTACGACCTACGGTTCCGGGGTCGTCGATCACTCACTGGACTTCCTGGCTCGGCACTCGTGGTGCTAGACGACGGAGTGCCCAGTGAGAGGCCGCCAAATCGCGGAGTAAGCCGGTTTTCTTGCTGGATCAGGAGACCCTTGAGGTTGTTGCGTAGACCACTCATAAGAGGTGTTTCGGGAAATTTGCTACCGGATCATGTCAGTATCAGACCTAGAAGAGAACAAGGTAAACGCACTCCTTGATCAAATCTTCCAATTCCCGTAGAAACGCCTTGTACTTGGCTAGACGAGTGGGAAGCGGCTCGTGAGACTCCTTCTGGAAGAACGCAGTAAGGCTAAGCCATGTTCGTTTGTAGACCTCGCGGTTCGACCCTTTCTGCACTTCAATGTCGCCGAAGAAATCCACAATGTCCTCGAGTGTATACTTCAAGCTAGTCTGCACCAGATCCAGGTCTTCTTTGGCGATAGCCACATTGTGCCGATAGTGACGATTCTTGGTGAGGTCATCCAGGCTTGTCAAGGATGTGCTGATGGAGTAGAGGTCGGCAATGAGACTGGTGATCTCCGTTGCATGTTCGGGCAGAGGATCGCGCAGCATCCGGAAGCCAGCTGCCACATCCTCTGCGTTGTCGGCCGATGTGCGCAATGCCATTGCGAGGATCACATCACTGGGCCGCGCACTCTAACCAGGGTTCTCCCTCAGGAAGGTGGGGGCACGTTATATACGATTGGAGAGACGAGCCGGAATGTGGTGCACAAACCGTTGACCAGTGTAGTGTTCAAATAGAGAATATTGAGATGCAGGAAAATATACACGCGGGGACCGCACAAATGTTCGCTATACGAAGCAGTGTGGAGTTACGTCCAGGTTAAGCATAGTAGAATCGAGGCAAAGGGAAAAATAAGCCGGAGGGGTACCAACGACCAACTCGGAGACTGAAGATTAGGATTAGACTAAGTATTTAATTAGTTTTATGGGGTTATTCAAGAGCTTGATTGTGCCGTGTTATCGGTGGGATCAGCCCTCGGATGATGCATGTCGCCTTAGAGGCTCTCATAGAAAGACAGAGAACAGCAAACGAAAACAGTATGCATCGTCGCAAAGAATCCCTATCGGAAGAGAAAACTATTGAATGAAAGAGAAGGAAAGCAACCAGGATTGTTCAAATAGGACGGAGAATAGGGTATCTAGAAGCGGAAGAAGCCTCAAGTGGGGCACAAGATCTGAGTCAAAGGGTTCGACGTACACTCAAGAGACCCTCAAGATCCCTCATCCTTGCACTTACAAGCCGTTGGCGAAGAAGATAATCGATTTGCGGCTCCTTCAGCGACAGACAGCGACAGAGAAGATGCCCCCCTCCTGGCCGTCTAATAAGGATCGTTGACGTGTTCGTGCAGAGGATAGTCCTGGCAGCCAATAATGCGCGGGGGAATTGCATCCACCGAATTGAGCGGTGATGAGGATTTGTGAGGGCAAGTGCAACCCCGCGAGGACGAGGCAGGAGGAGAGGAATGGAATGCTTCAACTGGCTAGACCGCTGGTGAGACCGGCATCTCATGACACAGGATCTCTGTTTCATCTCTATTTCCAGAAGTCTTACTCTTTGTAATCCCTTGTTGAGAACAAAGTTCCTGACCAACCTTAAAAAACTCTCTCTCATTTCATGCAGATCACGAGACACTACTCCGTACTCACTAAGAGGCGATAAGGAGATCTCACAGTCAGAGATCTAGAGCTGGAATATGCTTTGACAAATCAACGCTAGAAGCACATCTAGAACTGCAATATGCATTGATTGCTGAATTGTGTATCATCTCTCGCTGGTGATCAATCTAGGTACATACCCCATCTTTGACACCACTACTCCGTACTTGACAATGGAATGTCTACAATGCTCCATTATCCATACAAGCTATATATAGCCCAACGCAATAACAGATCTCCATACTTTCATTAGTCCATACCTGAGACCAGGTGAAATATCAAAGCTCAGGCATCAAGGCACCAACTCGGAGATATCGGACCTGGGACGCGTCGGTGTGACACGTAAACAAACGGTCCCCGCGTCATCCCGGGAGCTTGGGCCAGGTACCCGAGCTGTAAGATCTCTCACATTTTTCCAGTCTCAACTGTCAATTGGCAGCAAGCCCCCGGGCAACCTACTTGCTATACGACACAATAGAAGGAAGAGGGAAAGGATGCGGTTGATTAGCTACTATTATACAGCAGTTTTTCGCTTGCCCCACACATCACTTTCTGCAGCTTCAGCTTCAGCTTCCGGTCATAATAATCCCACCAGCCGGAACTCAAATAAGGCTGCAGTCCACCCTTATTCAAGTCAAATTCAACCCAGTCCGTACAGTAAACATTTCCCATTGAAGATCCTTCATGAAGAACAGAAAAGCACGTAGAGAAACCCCACCGTCATCCCATCCCGAAAGCCGTCGCAAGTTAAAATAAAAAAGGAGTATAGAGAGGAAAAAGCGACGAATACAACTCAATCAGAGTGAAAATACGACTCAACAACGCCAATCGGTCCAGACACAAGAGACCTAGGTTTGAAAGAAGACCTTAAGAGGATTCCTCTTCGTCCTCTTCCTGAGCGGCCTGTATCCAGGAGATTTGTCAGCACTGTTCATTTCATGACACAACAAGTATAATCATTCACGTACGTTGTAGCTCGCCTTCTCATCTTCGTAACGCTTCTTGTCGGCGGCGGCCTTCTCCTCGTAGGGTCGGCGGTCGCTGTCGCTCAGGGCCTTCCATCTCTCTCCGAGCATCTTGCCGACCTGACCTGCAGAGAGAGTAAGCAATCAATCCAGAGCCTGATTCTAGTCAGAATACTTACCGAACGAGATGCCGGGGTTCTCCTCGCGGACCTTGTCACGGTTCTCGTTGGCGAAGAACATGTAGGCAGAAAGACCACGCTTGGGGGCATTGGGGTCTATCTCAAGGATTAGTTCAAAGCAAGGCGCGCCAGAAGAAGCGCATGTACATACCCTTCTTCTTTCTCTCGACGCGCTTGGTCTTGGTGCGGGTGGAGGTCTTTTCCTTAGGCATTGTGGTGGTGATTGACTGCAAGAGAGAGCTGTTAGAAGCTGCCAATTAAGTCAGGAAATCAAAAACGAGTGTGTCAGATGAAAAAGAAAACACAGAAGATGGAATCAATTCTAAATGAAAGGTCGAGGAACTGATGCTCGAGTGCGCGCTAGAAGCAGAGTGGTGCGCGTGCTGGAGGGCGCTCGCGGTCGCAAGTCAAGCAATAACACGAGAAAAGAAAATCGCGCATCCAGAGCTTACCTGAGACTTGACTCAAAGAGCAAGAAGATAGTTCAAGTATAAAAATCGACTGTTTTGGCCTGCATTCGACGAATATCAGTTTGGTGCTGTTCATTGCGTCTGAACTATATGATTGCGGTCGCGAATGCGCGAGAGCAAGATCTCGCGGTCATGTTGGAAAAATCAAGCAAAAAACGATCTCAGAAAGACGTTCTGAGATGGGAACAAGTAGATGCAGAGAAAAATAATAATTGGGTTGGCGTTGTTGAGAAGATGTTTAGATGTGGGAATGTTTATAAGGAAACTCACCGATTCGGATATGTAGTACTTTTTGTATGGGGAGCGAATTTGTATGGAGAGAATTGGTAGAGGAGAGTGAGGGAGTAGAGAGAGAGAGAATAGTATGAGAGGGAGAGGGGAGAGTAGTAGTAGTAGGAGAGGGAGGGCAGCAGCACCACCACCAGCAGAAAGGGAGAACGGGACTGCGGGCCACCACTCTGCTTACACCACTACTACTGGACTACTGACGACCTGCTTTACCTCACTCACCTCATACTACGCTTTGCATCCGGCTTAGTTTGGTTGGAAGGGAGGAGAGGGGCAGCACAGGCAAGGGAAAAGTTACCTAACTGGCTGACTCTGCGCTGAGAAATGAGTGGTATCGTCTCATACTTGTCACATACAGCATTGCTCAGGTTTCCATTTCCTGCGACCGTCAGCTGTCCCATGGGACTGTGCACTCAACATTTTCACAAGGATATGGTCTTCAAAGGTAACGAATCTTTCTATTTCAACAAGATCGATCCGTCGATCTGGTATATCCTGACTTCCTTCCCAATAAATGTCGCTTTTGGTCAAACCAAGAGCATACCTGGGTTGCGCATTGCGCTGATGGCGAGGTATCGTCATCTAGTGTATTGCGAATACCATACAGTTACCTTACGCCTCACCTCATCCACATCCACCGTCCTTTCCTACTAGCTGGTACCACTTTACTAGCAGTACTTTCTCCATACTGTGGATTAATCACACATACCTAAGCCACCCAGCAATGGTACGGAGGACAAAGTAGCACACAGATAATCAACCGTAGTAATAATAATCGACGGCTGATCAATTATCATACGTCTATTGATCATCGAGATACGTATCAATAATCTCGGTTAAAAAAGAAAAATGAAAATGAAAAATCAAAAATAAGATTCTTTGTTGCGAATTCGATAGCTGGCTCTGGATCAAGCACTGCTGACTCTTTCAATAATGCATAATTCCCACTGACTTTCTCTTCTATGTACACACACAGCTCGTGCCTCGGTGCAAACACATCAATACCCTACCATTATCGCTCTCGATTGGATTGTTTGCCCATGCTTTAAGTATCTTCTTGAATGAAGGGATATGTATTTCACCTGTCAATCTCTTAGAGAACTGTTTACTTAGTACCAAGTAGAGGCCGTCGGCTCTTCCTCCAGTTGCAATCCCAATCATATTGACCAGAATAGCTTGAGCTCTGCGCTCTTCAGCTAGTTGTAGATACCCACGTAGTGCATATTGTCCTTCGTTATTATCAGGGTCCTGTCTAGGAATTCGTTTGCCTCATCTTGAGTTTCCCCCTACTTTATATCAAACCTTTCCATGATAATTACGGCTTGACTCTCTACACATCAGCTCGGGTTACCACGGATACGCATTAAATGCTTTGCCATTATTCATGTTTACACGTACCAAAGGTGCAATTATGGTAGACTCGAATGGGGACTATTCCGCAAGTACTCAGGCCTCAGAGTGCAGCACTCTATCTAGTTGGAATCTTATTTGAGTCCCAGTCTTCCGTTTGAGAGGAGTGTTGCCATAGTACTAGACTAGTCAGCCACAGAAGGTAATAATGCCTTGCTTTAGTATCAAACGGATCACATAAATACGCGTGTAGCAGGTACAGAGGACTTCAGTGCCCTGGGAGTGGCTGTTAAATCATACAGCCACGTCCGTTACTCTGCTCACCGTCTGTTTGCTGATGCATATAGAACAATCCAGTCTCCATAGGTGACTGTTAAGTCTACACTTAAAGATTTTAAAGGCAAGGGTTACTGAATCATTCAATACTGAGAGTCAAAAGTCAGTCAGAAGCGCTCATAAACTTACAATGTTGAATAGTAGGGCGTGGAAGTGTCATATTATTAACCCTGGTATTCCTCCACATCCTGTGCTTACTTCCAGTACGTGGTACCGTGTGGGAAAATCTGCATACCTAGCTCAAGCTAAATGCCACTTCGTCGTGAAGATTATGGGCAAAACCCAAAAATAACCGTACAGTAGGAGGGACTACCTAGTACCACGGAGGAGGAGCTTACTCCCCGTAAACCCAATATTAT